GGGATCCAGTCTCAGCTCTGCCACTAGCTCAGAGTGACCTTGGGGCAACTTGCTTCATTTCTTAGATCTTCAGTATGCTCATGTATAAAGACCTCTTTTTGTATCTCCAATACTTAGCACAGTACCTGGTACATAGTGGATACCTAACAAATATTTATTGGTTGGTGTTGATTGATTGATTGATTGAGGGGTTGAAGATCCCTTCTAGCTCTGAGATTGTGAAAATGGTTGTCTACTATTATCTGCTCAGCATTATTTCAGAGATGGCTAAATATAAATAGGAGAGCTCCAAGTCAGCAACTTATAAAACTTCAGCAGGAAAGTACTGTACCAAGGAAAATCAGAATTGATTTTTCTTCAGGATTTCAGGAGCCACCATTAAAGAGCTACTCTGGCATTGACACCAGAGTAAATTCTTTCTTTTTTGTAAAATTTCCTCTTTGTGAAATTTGTCATATTTTATTATGTGTCTTGTAAAGGAATCTCAAAGGCAATGAGAAAACAGAGTCTGGCTTCTTTGTAAAGAAGTTGCATCTGTGTGACTGGAATATCTTAATTACTCAGAGGATGAAGCCCTATAGCTCAAATCCATCCTTGCTGATAACACAAAATAGTTTAGAAGAGCTATATACTGGGAGACAAATGGATAAGACTAAATGCCTCCAGGATTAGCATTTAGGACCACATAACAGCAGCTGATACTTGGCAGGCCAAATAGTTATCTGAGGATATTGTGAAGAGTCTAGATATTTAATATTATGATTAATATTAAAAAGTTGGGATCATGGCAATGGATGTCAAAGGGAAAAGAAATAATCACATTTTATCTTTTTTTTGTTCAGGATATTTGTACCAGGTACACATTACAGACAATTTAAACAAAATAAAACAGAGGTTAATCTATTTATGCAATTCTTTCAATTCTATTTTCAAAAGAGACCATCCTGTCAGATTCATTTTAGAACACTATCAAGTGACTAATTACATTATTATTTCTTTTTAAAGAACAGAGTTATAGATGTATAGATATTCATATATGATTCATACACAAAGAAGATGAGAGATAAAAATCCAATTATCCTCCAAAGAGCTGATTCAAAAATCACCCTAGCATTTAAAACTTTTAAAAGAAACTGGAGCTGAAAATAATATCTAATACTTGACAGCATTTTACATACATACATACATACATACATTTTATGTGCATTTGATCCCCACAACAACTCTATAATATAGGTACTGCAGGTATTACCCCCTTTACCTGAAAATAATCTAGCCTGATCCTCTCCTCCTTTTCAACTTTGGCTCACTGTCCATCTGTACTGTCTGTCCCAGATCAACATACAATTGGACAAACTCTATGGCAGGTCCTTTCAGGTGCCTAATGATATCTGAACAATTAATATTCTTTCCATTTTATCTTTCCTGTGTGAATGGACAGGAGAAGGTCTGGATGTTCTACAATGTCCTGAGGACTGATGCAATTAACCTATTCTGTGAACAGGAGCAGCTGCAGGACATAACCCTAACTATCCACAGGGAATTTCTCAGTTCCCTAGATTCTATGCTAGATCTCCTTTATCATCATGATGAATATTTTTTGCAAGCATAGATATTTATCCCTGCTTTATGTCTCACCTGATGCCCTACTCAATGCCTCATTTGGTATGGAGGTGGCCCTAGATCTAGATTCCTGCAGAATATAAGCCATAAGAGGTTCTCTAATGCTGTAAAGACTACAGGCATGATCTCATGAATAGCCTGAGCATATTTTCTGAGCATTATCCTCGCTAATTATCAGTTTTTACCTTCTAAGACCATACCCCACCCCAGGAGAAATACAACCAAGTACAATCAACTTCCAGGATGGCAAGACATAGACCTAGAGATCAAATAACCTTTTAGGATTTGTAAGTGATCATACAGAGGGCAGGGAGCAGAGCTGTGCTTCATAACTTGGGCCACAGAGTAGCTCCTATCATCCTACCACACTATACTGTTTCCATTCAACATTACTTCCTTTATGAATTGACATTTCAATAAGTGAGGAACAGATAAAAAAATAGAGATGGAGTAAAAAGCCATAAATTCAATAACATAGAAATGTTATAGAAAATTTATTACATCCAAGGTTCTATGCTCATGAAGGATACAGAGAAATAAAGAAGGAAGGGCACAGTCCATAGAATGTAGAATAGATGAAGAAAAAAGGGAAAAAAGTGAGTTAAAGTAAAGGAAAACTTCTTGGAAAAGGGCACCATGAAAAAAAGCTTATTTAAAATTGGCTTACAGGAAGGGAAGATTTTGAAACACAACCTTAGCTATGTGAGGAAAGAGAAGAGTCAAGAGAATGGCAGAAATGCATAATTAATTAAGCAAATAATCAAGAAAATGATCAAATGAGCAAACAAGAAAATAGAAAGAAAAAATTAACAGTAAGAAAATTTAAAGATTTTGGATAAAGCCGGCAAATGGGTATGGGGAAGAACCTATTGGAATGGACTAACATTATAGCAATATTTACTCAAAAGATAAATAGGGCAAAAATCAACATAAAAAGAATAAATGGTAAAAAAAAAACAAGCCTTAAAACATAATATTAAATGTGAATGGATTAAGCAATCTAATTTTTAAAAAAGAATGGCATAATAATGGCATAATAAATAAGAAAAGAAAACTAACCATTATGATGTGTATGATATATATTGAATGAAAATTAGATAGATTAAAAATTGCTATATATCTGATCCCCCTAAAAAATCAAGAGTTGCATTCATTTAAAAATAAAACTTCTTTACATTGGTAAAGATAGAGAATTTGCATTGTGTCCAAAGGCACCATAGACAATGGGGGAAAAAAGATAAATGCTAAACATATATGCACCAAATGGAATAGCATCTAAATTTTTAAAAGAAAAAAAATAACTGGAAAAATACAAGGATAGTAACATCATAATTTTAGAAGAACCTCTAAGAGCTGGATAAATCTAAGAAATGAACATACATATCCACACACACACACACACACACATATATATGTATATATGTATGTATGCATAAAAATGATATGTGTATGTGCATGTGCGTTTGTGTGTATCTGTTAGAGAAATTAGATCTGAAAGATCAATGGTATATTATGAGTGGTAGTTTAAAGATTATATATATTTCTCAACATCTCATCGTACTTTTACAAAAATATACCACAAGCTAAGTCAGTTCCCCATGAGGCCAGAACCCAACTTCAAGGTTTCTATCACTTGGCACCAAGGGATGCATGTTCTACTGATTTGAACTTTGAAAAATGGATTGCATTCCACCTTCTCCATAACAGCCAACTATAGAGCTTGTTTCTAACACAATCACATCTACTATTATTTCTCTGTCTCCCAACCCTCACCTAATATAAGGAGATAACCACCAAAACTCTTTCACTCTGTTCCATCTCTCCTCTATTCAAGCTCATAATCAGAAGTCTCAGGGAATTTATAATTTAATTCTGACCCAGCACCCAAGGCAGAAGCTGCATACCCAACCCTCCCCACAGATAACTTTCTGGCTACCCCAAATGCCCCTTAGAGGGTGAATTCTGCACTCTAAAGTAGTGATCAGTGAGTAAAAACCCTACCTTCTTTCTTTTCATTTCTGGTGGGACAGAGTGAAAATGAGCAGGCAGGATGGGTTCTGACACCTCATAGATACCATTACATTACCTTTCTTTCCAAATCTCCCAGTTTCCAAAAATTTCTACAAGGGTACCACTATCCTTCTAGTCACTCAGGTTCACAAACTTCATGTCATCTTCAACTATTTACTCTCCCTCACCTAATATAGCCAATCAATTGCCAAATCTTGTTTCTACTTCCACAACTTATCTGCCCCCTTCACTCTACCCACACAGCCACCACCCTAGTTCAGATTCTTACCACCTCTTGCCTGAGCTATTGCAGTTGCCTCCAAAGCAGGGAGCTGCTTTGATTCTCTCCACTATCCAACTCTCATGGAGCTGCCAAAATGATTTTCCTGAAGTGAAAACATGACCATGTCACTTCCCTACTCAATAAATTCCAGTAGTTATGAATGGACTAGGACCAAATGGTATTTCATTTTTATCTTGTCGTTTTAATTTTTTGTGGAAATTTTAAATCTATATAATAACTAGTATAGTAGTACATGTATATAATTTACAAATAAGTAAAGCTACACATTGGAGTTGTATATTCAAAAATGTTTGATTATTAGAGGAGTGCAATCACAGGAGTTTGGAGATGACAGTTTTAGAGTATAGAAAAATTACAAGTAAATACAAAATTAGAAATAGTAAACATAGCTACTTATAGGCTAGAATGCAATAAAATAGTAATTAATAAAGGGAACAAAGCCAAATACAGAGCTTGAATTTAATAACATCCTTAAAAAACAAGTTGGTCAAAGAACAAATAACAGAACAACAACTATGTTCAAAGTAATGATAATGATGAGAAAATTCCTCAGAGGAAAATGATTTCAGGAAATATAAATTAACAAAATAAAAAAGACATCCACCATGCAATTAAAAAAATAGATAATCAAGAAACATACAAGAGGAAATTTTACACATTAAAGAAGAAATATATAAAATGGAAAAAATCTGGAACTCATAAAAATTTTAAAATGGTTCTCTGAAAAAAAATTAACAAAATTGATAAACCTTTAGCTAAGCTGATTTACAAAGACAATGTCAAATTACTAAAATTAAAAAGAACTTATGTTGAAGAAATAAAACAATAATCAGAATCTAGTAAATAAAATTTTCTAGCAATAATTATATAATATTCGAAGTATGTAAAGCACTTTACACGTATAATCTCATTTGTTCTCCCAACAGTCCTGAGATGCTATTTTTTCCTCCTTTAATAGATGAGGAAACTGAGCCAGAGAGGTCAAGTGACTTATTGAGGGCAATATAGCTGGTAAGTGTCTGCATTTAGATTTGAACTCAGGTTTTCCTGACTCTAAGTATAGCACTGTATCCACAGTGTTACCTAGCAGCAAAACTGAAAATTTAAAGGAAATGGATAAATAATAACAAAATATAAAATGTTCAAATTAATAATAGGAAATAGAGATCTTAAGCAACTCAAGCTCAGGAAATGAAATTGAGTAAACTCCCAAAGAATTACAAAAGGCAGAGGGATGGGGGTTGGGGGTTGAGAAATGGAAATCCCTGGTCCAGACATTTACAGTTGAATTCTATAAAAAAAAAAAATTTAAAAAGCAATTAATACCCAATAATACACAAATCATTCCCCAATATGGCCATTTACAGAAAAATCTTCCTTTCTGCAAATGGACCAATTACAAATGAGATAATTTATATGATTCTGGATAACTATTACTTTCAAAAAGCAACTGTTAGAATTCAGTTAATGATATTTGAACAATTGTTATTGCTGTTTCAAAACTTTTTCCAATTGTCCCTCATCTCCACCACATATATCTCTTTGATATACCAATGCCTAAATGTGCTGATATAATTTATTCATGAATCTGGGATATTATTGTAATCAATTGGATTTATTTTTAAATTATAATTTAAAATGTCAGAATAAAAATAACATTTCCATTAATATTTAATTTCTAATCTTACAAACATACCATCCCTTATTTACTGCATTATGAAGTATTTAAGTCACATCTCCTGAAATGAATCCCTGAAGCAATAAATGAATGTTTAAAAAACAAAAGATAAGAAAGTAGTTTTTTTTCCTACTTTCTTTTGGGGAATAAAATTTTCTCATTGAAAAAGCTGAATTTTATTTCACTGAATGTTTTGAAATAGCTTTTCCCATTTGTTAAGTGTAAAGGTGTAATTACTTCTACAGTAGAAGTGTAGTTATGATTTCATGTGCTTTGGCCTTCTCTCTCCAATTATCTCTACCCATAAAGCTTAAGAAAAAGTGGAAGGTAGGTGTGCCCACCATGAGAAGATATGGAAAACTATAAAGTATGGTGAATTGGGGAGCTGGGGTGGAAGTGATCAAGGATAGAGTCAGTGAGAACAATTGTTCAAAGGGAATATAGAGGTATAGCAGGCTTGAGGGGATTCTCTAGCTATGTCTAGGCCTGCTCTTAAGCCCAACTGTTCTATTCCCCTGAGGCTGAGCAAGTTGTGAGGACTGGAGGACTGCCCATCCAATAAGCAAGGCACTCAGAAAAGCAGTAAGAAGTAGGATCATTACATATTGTAATGCTGTTATAATAATGTTGAAAGAGGAAAAAAGGTCAGGAAACCTGAGTACCCGCAACTGACTGGACATTGACCTTTGGACATTGAGTTTTGGCCATAAGTAGAATTAACCCTGAGAGACACTTGCTTCCCCTCTGCGGGAGTGGTTGAAGAGAAGTTACGAATTTTTGCACCCAAATTGTGTTTCTGAAATTCTTGGTTTGGGGTTTATAGACTGGCTTGAGGCTACATGGATCTGGGAAGAGTCATGAGCATCCAGAAAATGCTGTAGTTATTTTAATGTAAATTTTCTCTTTTCTTTCTATGGCTATGAGTATAGAATCATATAATTATTTTATTCATTTGTGATTGACTCTATTATGCCATTTCTGTGACTGAATTCTAAAAGTTATCCTAAAAGAAGAGGGTAGACTTTCTCAAAGTGGGATACTATTTATCTTTTTGGATAAATCTATAAACATTACACCCTTAGACAAATGAGAAGTAATACTACCTACATAAGGAATAAAGATAAGGGGTAGAGGTAGCCAGCTGTCTGATAGCCTTAAAGAATTTAATTCTTCTCCCAGTGCATTCTGGTATTGAGTGGATTGCAAAATCACCAGGGGGAGCATAGAAATGCCAGTACTTAACCAGCAGCTTCCCCTAGTGGTTAAACCCTCCAGGAACTAGTCTACTGGGGGCAGGGGTGATGAGAAGAAACTACAGTTATTCCTTCCACATCCACATGGGTATGGGGGAAGGTTGAGGGGGCGGCACCCACCACGATCTGGAAAATCCATGTAAATTTTTTTTGGCCCTCCCTTCGTACCAGGGAAGAAGTCTAATTTTTTTCTTTTTCTTTTACCTTACTATAAAATTTGGAGTTGGCATCAGTACTACACATATCTTTTACTCATTTCTGAGCATCTAACCTTTTTCTGTGTCATCTGCTGGCCTTCCAATGTCATTTGAGACTTCCACAAAATGCTCAAAAAATTCTTATTTAATTTCTTATGTTGACCCCACAATATAGTGAAACCACAATGGGGAAAGTCAGCTGTGGAAGGGATAACTGTATTTCCTAATTGGTATCCAAAGATCGAAAGCACCTTCAAAAAAGCCTCCTCTTTCCCCTCCCCCACAGAAGAAGTAGCACGATAATGCCAGAAGATATGATCCTTATGCTACTAAATTCTTTATCTTCCAGGGGAGCCACAGAAGGGACTCCTACCTTGGATAAATTGGATTAGATGACCCATTAGATCCTTTCTAGTTATGCAATTCTGTTATAACAAGCAACTGACACTCCACAGAAGTCTTGTCCTGATGCTTCACCATAGTATGAAGAAGACTATGAATTTTCAAAGGCTATGCTAGGAGAGTAGAAGCTCTGGTAAGTCTTACCAACCAATGCTGGGTGGGGTGGAGGGTCACCTGTAATCCCTGCTACTGGGGAGGATGAGGCTGGTGTATCACTGGAGCTCAGCAGTTCTGACCTGCATTAGGCAAAAGCTGATTAGGTGTCAATACCAAGTCCAGTACCAAAACAGTGAGCCTCTAGCAATAAGGGGGGTGGGGCATGGGGAAGAGGAAGGGCACCAAGCTGCCTAAAGCTCTCTCCTTATAATACTGGGGTCAGGAGCTATTGAACTTCAAACCTCTATGAGATGGAGAGATGATAGGGAGACCTAGTCCTCCCACCCCCAAAAAAATCCTTACCAAACCAGACAGGACTATAGGAAAGGTCCCTACAACATTATAACATTTCTTTGGTCTCCCACTTTAGTTACCCTAAAAATGAAATGAAGTTAGTCAGGCACGAGCTATTCTTGCTGAATTTTAGGGATCACTGCTTCCTGATCCCTTGGGGGATATTCCTAGTAAAGAATGGGAAGTGGAGGGAACATGGGAAGGAGCAAATGTAAACCTGAAAATAAAATATAGTTTAATTCCCCCAAAATACAATGATTAGAAATTTAAATAGTTTTCTTTATATGTCTAAAGGTCAGATCCAATAAAATTCTGAATAACAATAATAGCATTTATATAGCAGTTTAAAGTTTGCAAAGTGCTTTATAAATATTATCTCATTTTATCCTCACAACCACCCTAGGAAACAGGTATTATTATTATTATTCCCATTTCAGAGATGAGGAAATTGAGGTAGATAGAGGTCTTCATGCCCAAGGGCACACAGCTAGTAAGTGGACTCAGTTCTTCCTGACTCCAAGCCTGGCATTCTATTTACTGTGCTACCTAGCTGTTCACTAAATATATATTTGAGGGTCAGCCTTCAGGGCCCTCTTCCCCATTCAAGCAGCCTGTATTTTCATATACCTTTTTCCCTTCCCAATGACCCCCACTTCAGTGCCCTACCCAAGCCTACCCTCTTTATCCCCACTCTTTAAGGTGTCCACCACCTGAAACTATGTGCCTAATGTTACATTTCCTAAAGGTTCTGCTCTCTAATAATGTCTTTGCCCATGTGCCTTTCCCTGGGTGGTCTGGAATGCATTCCCTCCTCATCTTTGCCTCATGGAATCTCCATCTTCCCGTCTCACACACAAAGCCTTTCCTGAGACTTCCTTCCCACTCCCAAGTTCTGAATGTTTTTTTTCCTGTCATTTTAAATTACTTTGTATTACTGCACAGACCTTGTATTCACTTACATCTGCGTACAAAATGTCTATGTGCGTGTAATTTCCCCCAGCAGAATGTAAACCCCTTGAGGGCAAGGATGATTTCATTTTTGCCTTTGTATCCTCAGCATGTAACACAGTGCCTTGCACACAAGAAGAGCTTAATAAGTGTTGGCTGAATTGAATGCTGATGAATTTAGAATTTGGGACTGGATCATAGGATCAAAGATGTAGAGCTGGAAGTGGCCTTAGAGAACATTTAGTCCAACCCTCCAATTTTACAGATGAGGAAACTGAAACATGGCTTGTCCACTGTCACATAGGTTTTAAGTGGAACCAGACTTCCAACCTAGGTACTCTGATTCCAAATCTAGCACCTTTCCCCCAGATCTAAGGTAAATTAATGAGGTTTATTTTCATATGAGGCATATGGAAAGCAATTATTGCTTTATAATTACATACGTTATATGAGACAAGAGCTTTGAGCTAATCCATACCTTTATCCTTTTACGGAGGCAGTATGCTTTCATGGAAAGAACATTCGGTTTGGAATCAGAAGACCCAGGCTTCAAGATGTGCCTCTAATACTTACTATATAAGCCTTGAAACCATGAAAAAATCATGTAACATCTCTGAATTTCCATTTGGCAGCTCAGTAGAGTATATGGATAGAGTCAGGAAGGAGTGAGCTCAAATTCTGCTTCAGACGCTTACTAACTGTGTAAAAGAGAGAGTGAGGCTGACAACTTTGTGTAGTTCTGCCTCAATTAAATCCAATTCACACTCAAGTCAAGACATCACCCTCATGATATCATTAATCCTCTTCGAGAAAAAGTCAAACACCACCAATAACTGTGTGACCCTGAGCAAGTCACTAAACCTATCAGCTTCCGTTTTCTCATCTGTAAAACAAAGTTACTAAAAGCATCAACTTCATAGAGTTATTATTATGAACACCAAATAAGATGACATACATAAACTGTTTGGCAAATCTTAAAGTGATCTAAATGCTAGCTATTACTACCTAGTTTCCTCATCTATAAAACTTACCTACTTCACAAAGGTGTAGCAAAAAAGTAGCATTGTAAACTATAAAGTGCAGTAAGTGATATATAGGATGTTCTAAAAGTCTTAGTGCATGTTTAAGTTTTAGTAGATTAAAACTGCACTAAGACTTTTGGCTCCGCATTTATTTGGGGGCAGTTAGGTGGTGCAATGAGTAGAGCGCTGGTCCTAGAGTCAGAAAGACCTGAGTTCAAATCTAGCCTCAGACACTTACTAACTGTGTGACCCTGGGCAAGGCACTTAACCCATTTGCCTCAGTTTTCTCATCTGTAAAATGGGGATAATAATAACACCTACCTCCCAGGGTTGTTGTGAGG